AACACCGCGGCAGGGCTGATCTGGGAGTGGCGCTGGTCACCACGTTGATGCAGAACCCGTGTGCTCGTCGTCACAGGGATGCTACTTGGGCTAGTCGACTTTGATACCGCCGCGATCACCTCTAGAGGTAGCCAGAGGGAGAAAAATACGAGGAAGAGAAGGGAAGAGCGTGAGCGGCACTGGTTGCGCACCTGGTAGGGAACGCAGCTAACGTCCTCGTAAGCGCAAGTGATGTGCGCCTGGACCAGGACATGATCCTGGTAGAGATACATGCGGGAGATATAAAAAAGGACTACATGAATACAGGGTCGGGTGGGGTAAGGCGATGAAACGTAGTTCTTTGGGCATTGTGGGTCCGTTAATGAGGATGGAATTGGTGATGGAATAGTAGCCTTCCAACTACGAACGAAGGGTTTGTGCAATGTAAGGCGGGTCGGAGGGAGAAGAGAGAGGTAAAAGAGCTGGATGAAGTACTTACCCAGCAACTGTATTCGTTCGTGTCTAAGGGGAGGTGAGATTGTGTTCTGCAGACTTAGTAGAGAGGAGCGGAGCCTGAGGGGTTGCAGGATTTGCTGTGTATTTGTACGCTGAGTCGCTCAGCTGGTTGAAGAAGCGAGGGACGAAGTTGTAGTGATTGCAGAGCTTAGCCGCCGGCGAGTACAGTGCGTATGCCACCAAGAGGCGAAGTGAAGTCATCCATAGTGGCTGCAGGACAATGTATTAGCAGAAACGTTGCTTGGCCTGTGGGCTAAAGCAACAACAGACTTAGTGGGAGAGGTGGACTTGACTGTTTACTGGTACGCCTGTCGTTCCGCCGTGCGAAGTAGCAGGGGACGGCGACAAAGATGAAGACTTAGCTGATGGATGGTCCCTGTAGGCTAAAGTAGCTTGGATCCAGCTGCGTTCAGATACCGGTCGGCACTGAGTCTGAACTGCACAACCAAATGTGCACACTCTCCTTGTCGCATGGTTAGTTGAGCTACGCTGCTATGTCAATACGACATTGATAAGGGACTGTGTTCTGACCTATGATTTATTTTTTTGAGTTGTGACCACTGTATTTTAGGCACGAAGCGCGACAAAATAACTAAGGCAGAAAAGGAGGCATTGCTGTGATTTGGAGAGTTATCGGGGAATCGACGGTCAGCATTTTGACTTCGATTGACCAAGCTGCTGCATTCAGGCTGCCATTGCGGGGTCCTCAGGCGCGTGAAGATAACAAGGCCCTTTCCTGAAAGTTTAGTCATTTTCATTTCTGTATCTTAAGAGTCTAAAACCCCTCCTTCTGCCCTCCTTACTCTAAGTCTAGTCCTGTTCTGAGAGGAAGGCGGCATGCGAGATTGCAACCCGTAGGACCGCAGCGAGACTCTGTGGGGAATCAGCCCACCGATTGCGGGAGCTCTGCCGGAACCCAGATGGAGTTCTGGAGGCAGAGAACCATAAGGTATATTTTCTTCTATCAGTATGAACCCACTATACCCCTGGTTGACTATCTCCCTTTTAGTTCGATTGCTGTATGCATGTGATCCCCTATAATTTTGCTGTCTTTTATGATTTAATCAGACTAAATGGAAAGAATATGTGTGAAAAGCTTAAGTTTCTTTTTATTTTGAATGAAAGCATACTAAGGGGTGAACTGAGGGAAGCTGGAAGGAAAACAGTTTGCATGCGTTTGACCGGGTCAACAAAAAATTGGGCATAATTTCTAAGTTGAATGGCCCAGGGTTATGTTTATTTGATTGTTTTATGAAGGACCAGGCATTGTTTTTAAGTTGAATGGCCTGGTTGCTCTGTTTATTTCTAAGGCTTTGTCAGGCTGAAGGGTTTAATCTTTTGTTTTATTATGAGGGAGGATTTTTTGTCGAATGCTAAGCATTGTTTATAAGTTGAATGGTTTAGCTTGAAGTCACGCACATAAGAGTAAACTAAGTATAACAGAAAATATTTCACTTATATTTGCATGTGAACTGGCAGTTGGGCATTGTTTCTAAGTTGAATGGTCCAACACTAAGCCATATCATTAAGAAGGGAAGGGAAAATACTAGTATAATTGGAAGTAATCTGGGCAAGCTGAGCATTGTTTCTAAGATGAATGGCTCACTCCCCTGCCCATATTTTCATTTCTTTTTTAGAACAAAGTCAGAAAACTATTAAATTTTGGATATTAAACAGTTTCGGGCGACTATACATCATTTCTAAGCTGAATGGTCTAGTCATATGCCCAAAAAAGAGAAAAATAGTTGTGCAACCTATTCGTGTATATCTTAAAGGCATGCTAGACATTATTTCTAAGCTGAATGGTCTAGCACCGTGCCATATGTAAGTTGGGTACGAAGGATAAATCATTTGAAAGTAACATGCACTATTTATGAGAATTTGACTTTGGGTAGGTGAGAGTACTTACCAATGTGGTTTGGCCTTGCATGTGATTGAGTGAGATCACTACTTAGTTTAAGTTTCAGTTGATAGGTAGTTGCTTTAGTTGCTCGCCACGTGCTAGAGCCATAGGAGTTTAGTTTCAATTCATGCATTTTCAGTGTTAAGTTTATTTTACTTAGGTCAATTTCTGCATTTTCTGGGATCATTTGTTATACTTGGTCTTGTACAAATCTTGGCAAGCCACTTTCTCTACGGGAAACGCTGCCGAAATTTTTACAAAACCAAGGAGTTAGTCATATTTTGTCTTTTTAAAGTTCAGCTTGTCTAACTTTTATATATATGTCTTAGTAAAAATATGAAAAGTCTCCTTTACTAAAGGGAGTGCTACCCAAATTTTTGCTAATTCAGGGAGTTGACAAAATTTGACCTTGAGAAGTCAAAGGCACTTTAGAGTTTGAACTTAGTTTTGTGTAAATCTTGGATTAACACTTTTCTAAAAGGAGTGCTGCCGAAATTTTTACAAATCTAAGGAGTTGGTTAAATTTTGTCTTAGTTGAACTCATGTTTTGCTCTGGGTTCATATCTGATTTGGTAAAAATTTGGAAAGTTTTCTTTTCTAAAGGGAGTGCTGCCCAAATTTTTACCAATTCAGGAAGTTGGACAAAATTTAACTTTCCAGATTTAGAGATTGTTTTTGTTTTCATAGTTGAGTTAATATAAGTTATGAGAAGACACTTTCCCTACGAGAAGCACTGCCAAAATTTTCTTAATTTAAAGGAGATAGGTTGTATTTTAACAGGTCGCGATTCTGGGGGTTCACTCTGTACAGAGGAGATCTGACCATAATCTACATCTTCGTTAGGTACCTGCTTAGGGATAGATTTAGACTTAGCCAATTAAGAACGATGCTTAAGTGAGATTGTGATATGGAGATTATTCTCCATGGACTTATAGACCTAGTTTGGGGATTGGCCTGTCTTGTGTTACAGGTCCTCTTGATCATCTGATTCAAAACTTGAACTAGATTTAGCTTGATCCTATAAGGATGGCCTCTTGTTATCACTGATAACAGATCGGTTGTTGGCTCATCGGTTTACGGTTCAACTCCAATTCATTCTTGTCACTCAACCTAAAGGTTTTAGCCCTATAGTTTGAAATGTTTCATTGTGTTTTTACGCGGACTTTATTAAATGACCATTTAACAAATGCAAGGAACATGAATGTGGACGAAGCACAGAAATCCAGATTGCAAAATCACACTGAAGTCCAAGTAGTCAAAGCAAGAGCAGATAGCACAATGGAACCGAGTAACCATCCATTTGAGAAGGATACAGAAGAATCGTGAGTCAATGCCAAGCCCAATCGGGCAACACCAACAGCATAACCCAATGTAGCTCTTTCTCTTGAATGGCTCCGAGCCCCCTACCTACTCTACAGCCTATCACTACAACTACAGCATGGAAGCAACCAGACAACTTGACGACCAGCGAGTGATGATGTCAACACCAATGCCGACCTCCTCATCCACCAGGTATGTCCCTCTCTTCACCCTCACTCTCCCTTGTTATCCCACACAACGTCGTTCACCTCCGAAGAACCACCTTCGCCCTTCACCTTCTCTGCGCCCAAAGGCAGCCCGGCTATGGCCGCCAGCGCCGTGCGCCCAGGTTGCGCTCTGCCGCTTAGCGCCAGCCTGCCCTCCCTCAACCCAGCGCAACGCAGACACACTCTCAATGCAGTAGCGTGTCGGCGTTGCTCGCAATGGCCAAGATCCCTGCCCGCTCGCCCTCCCTGCCTATATGCCGGTGTTGCGTGTGGGCGGCCTCCCTTGAGCCTGGGCCTGGGCCCCAGTACCTGTACCCAGGCCCAATGCAGTTGGGGCCCAGGAGATAAAGTTGTGCCTCTTTCATCAAGGCCTGCGGCCAGATTCAGATAGTAGACCGGTTTCCCATTGGCATTTTCGGCCTCTATATCCAGCATGCATTGTCGGCCTCACGTTTATGTGCCCAGGGCCTAACCAATTCTGGGGCCCTAGGATTTTCTGCATTTGCAGAGATCCGATACTCGGTGCACTCCAACCAACTAGCGTGCGGCAACTGTATGGACCCCACTTCGTGAAATGTTTGAACAAAGGGCTCTCGTTGATTTGCTGGCCTGCCTTCACTTAGGGGGGGCACGAGGCTTGCTAGGGGCCTTAGCCCAGAACATGTACATCACAGCAAGACCCTTTTTGAGGGCTCAATCCTCACATTCCATCCCCCTTAGCTTCGAAAGTCCGCTGAGATGCTTACTTCACAGGTGCCTTCCCTCTTAACATCCTCTCATATTCTGCCACCACTTGAGGAGTTGTGTCAATCAGTTCCTCTCTGGTAAACCACCGATCTTCTTGGATCCGTATGATGCCTGAATCTGACGCGATATTCTCTCTTGGGCTTGGGAGGTCTTCCTCTACCCAGTGGCTTTGGAATAGGCAGGTCTCTGTGATCCACAATGTCGTCGATGTCCACTTGGCCATCCATGGTTGGGGGCAACATCGATCTCTTTGAAGGGAATTGATCTGTCTCAGCGAAAGGTGCAAGCTTTGAGGCATGAAAGACAGGGTGAGTGCGTAAGTGACCAGGGATGCGGATAACATAGGTAGGACCATCCATCTCATCCCCAACTATATCCAGGACTTCCCAGGGACCAAAATACTGAGACATTAGTTTACGAGAGATTCTGAATTCCTGTCCTAGCTCACTAGCCTTGATCCAGACCCGTTCCCCTACTTGAAATCAAGACTGTCGGCGATGTTTGTTCTCAGAAGCAATCATTGCTTGCTGAGATTTCTTGATATGCTCGACAGCTTGCTGTAGGAACTTCTCATACTGCACACCGTACTCAAGTGTGCCTGGAGTTGCAGAGGATCGGTTTTCAGGCAGGAGGAAGTCCAGTGCTGATCTAGGCTTCCATCCCAAGTGTAGCTGGTTAGGACTGACGTCGGTACTGCTGTGTACAGCATTGTTGTACAGGTTGGCGATGAGAGGCAATTTTTCATCCCAGTCATCCTGGCTGGGCTTGATGTAATGCCTCAGCAAGTGTTGTACAACTCTGTTCATCTGCTCGGCCTGTCCGTTTGCTTCGGGATGATTCCCTGAAGTCATATGAAGTTGACTGCCCATCTGTTCAACATTGTTCTTCCACAGCTCACTTGTGAAACGGACATCTCTGTCACTAATGATTGACTTCGGTAATCCAAAATCACGCACCCAGTTGTCCAAAAACAACTTGATGACGTGTTCAGTCCTTGCGGTCTCTGGCATGGCAATTAGTCTAGCGTACTTGGTGAATCGGTCTATGATGACAAAGATGTGCCTCTTGCCATTCCTACTGGTCACCAGGGTGTCCATGAAATCCATGGAAACACTGTCCTGGACCAGCGGGGATAGGTAAGGGCTTCAGCAACCCAAGCGGTGCTTGAGTTCGCGGCTTGTCCCGCTGACAGACCTGACCGGCCTCAACATACTTCTTTGCATCTTCTAGGATTCCGGGCCACCAAAATCGTTGTACTAGATTGACACTCGTCTTTTTGTAGCCAAAGTGTCCGGTTGCGTCATGACATTCTCCTGAGAATAAACTACACAAACGTTCACTAGATGGAACAACTAGCCTTTTAAATCCGGCCTTATCAAGAAAGAGAATCCCGTCCACCATCACAAACTCATCCTTTGTGGCCTTGTCTTTTGCCTGAAGTTTACGTATGATGTCCATCGAGACAGGGTCTTCCTGATAGGCTCCCACCAGCGATTGAGTTAGTTCCTCAGATACACCGAGCTCATAAACTAGCGTCCCTAGGTAGTCTGCTCTACGGGACAACGCATTTGCAACCTTGTTGTACTCTCCCTTCAGATACTCTAGCTTGAAGTCCTACTGATCTATGACCTCAATCCAACGCTTGAGTGCATCAGAAAGAGTCGGTTGAGTCTTGATCCATTTGAGGGTCTGATGGTCAGTTCTCAAGTAGAAAAACCATCCCAACAGGAAGTGTCTCCAATGGACAAGTGCTTTGTAGAGAGCATAGAGTTCCCTTTCATAGGTGGACTTCGCCAGTTTCTTAGATGGCATCTTTTTGCTCATATACTCAATCGGTCTCAACTTCTTCCCATACTGCTGAGCCAGCACTGCGCCAATGCCGTATTGGCTTGCGTCAGTAGTTACAATGAATGGCTTCTGAGGATCGGGCACCATGAGAACCTCATGATTCATGAGTGCATGCTTCAATCGTTTGAAAGCAGCCTCGCACTCATCACTGCAGTCCCACGGCGTGTCAAGTCGAGTTAGATCAGTCAAAAGAGAGGCGACTGTAGAATAGTTCTTCACGAAGTTTTTATAGTAGCCGCACATTCCTAAGAAAGATCTGACCTCAGTAACAGTCTGAGGTCGTGGCCAATACCTTATACTAGCCACCTTCGCATCTTCCGGCCTAATACCTTCCGCGGATACTTCATGACCCAAGTATAAGATGTTAGTGTGTCCAAACTCACATTTCTCGAGGTTGACCTTATACTTGTGTTGTCGCAGGAGAGAAAGTACAGTCTCAACGTGCTGTGCATGCTCCTCGACAGACTTACTAAAGATAAGAATATCGTCAAGGTAGACAAAGACAAACTTATCTAAGTGGTCATGAAAGATCCTATTCATGGCATGCTGGAATTTACCCGGCGCATTGCAAAGGCCAAAGGGCATCACTACAAACTCATACAGACCGTATCTGGTCTGAAAAGCAGTCTTGTGTTGATCCTCAGGTCTTATTGCTATCTGATGGTAGCCGGATTTTAAGTCTATCTTGCTATAGTACTTACATCCCTGCACCCTATCCAATAGGTCGTCTATGCGAGGTAGAGGCTCTGCGTTTTTCACTTTGATGGCATTGAGGCCCTGTAATCAATGCACATCCTCAATGTACCCCCTTTCTTCGGTACAAATAGCACTGGAGATCCGAAGGGGGAAGTACTCGGCCGGATCCATCCCTTTTCTGTCAGCTCTTTCAGTTGTCGCCGAAGTTCATCCAACTCGGCCGGAGCCATCCTATAGATCCTTCCCTTTGGGGTTTTACTCCCTGGAATGATTTCTATGGTGTGGACAACCTCCCTATCGACGACTCCTGTGGGCTTTGTGAACAGATCAAGGAACTTAGCAACGACGTGTTCTATCTCTGGGGGTGTTTCAACGACCTCCCCTTTCTCAGAGACATACACTAGGTACATACCCTCCTCTTGGTTCTGTTTATAGTAGTTATAGAACGCTGATGCACACAAGCAGGCATAGGTATCGATTATACTACTGGCTTTGAACTTAGTCAGTCTCACTTTTCGTCCATCAGGCAACTTATGCATTAGCACCTTCTTGTCCCAGTTAAACTGGGGCTTGGCAACCTCAAGGTAGTACATTCCTAACAACATGTCAAATGGTAGGTCGTCGCTAACCAGGAACGAAATCTTATAATCAAGTTCCCCTCCTCCATAAAAGAAAGTACAAACTACATCCTTGATATAGTCTGTGACAACCATGCGCTCCTTATTGGCCAAAGTAGATGCTACCGGTCTACTAAGGTGCTGTACCCGGTCCTGTAGGTGCAGCCTTTCCAAGCAGTCGCGACTTATGTAATTCTGTGTGGAGCCGATGTCTATGAAGGCACCACATTTGCGGTCTCCTACAACAACTTCCACAACGAAATGTTTCCCTCTAGGACCTTTTCTTAGTGCCACCCAAGATTCGCGAGGGTCCTTGCTTGACCACTCACTTTCTAAATCTTCTAAGGCATCAGACGCATCCAACGTACAGAGTATAGTTTGGTCTGGATGAGTCTGCAGGGTGACTAAAGAGTCATTAGCTATGACCCACTTCACCATGAGTAGAAGCAGCTAAAACTTCCACCGGCCTCACATGTTTCCCGAGCTTGAAGCCTGGGAAGAAGGTACCCCAACCTTAGGATGTATCTTCTGCGTGACCTTTGCGTTCTTGCACTTGTACTGGGTGTGTCCGTATTCACCACAGTTAATGCAAGCACCACTCACTCTACGGTCCCACCACACTTCCTGATCAAGACCTGCCTTGACCCAATCAGCAACTTTGGTCTGGTTGGAGGCGGCCTGTCCTCGACTCTTTTTGATGGCCCTTCCCTCGGCCACCTGCCTTAGTCTTTACAACTGCGGCGAGGGTGCTACCCTCAGCGGTCTCCTCGTCGTTGTACTCTGCACTGTCCAACAGGTCAGAAAGTTCCTCGATCTCGGTTTGAGTCCCGTCAGACTCAACCATCATCAATCGACTCCCCTTCTTCTTCCACTCCTGTGGACTCTTCTTCTTCCTCGTGTCTACCTGAGTAGGCTGAGCACTTCCTAGAGTAGCCTCTAAGTCTAAGGCTTTTCTAGATAAGGTCTCAAACGAATGATACTCGAGGCGAGCCTCGCTGGCCAGCAAGTTTATGAGATTCTTGGGCAGACATCTCACGAACATGATCAATAAGACCTGGTCATCGTAGCGTATGCCTGGCACGACAATAAGGCTCTCTATGGTAGACTTTAGCTCTTTGATTGACTTGAACTTTCTTTGGTCTAGTCTGAGCATCGCATCAGTGGCAATTTGTGCCTGTTGTGGATTATGCCAACGAGCTTCTACCATATCTAAGAACTCTTTCTAACGTTAGGGTCTTAGCCTAGTCCGCCATGCGTCGTCCGTACCCACTTGGAAGGCCTTCACTACTAGTCCATCCAGCCATTTGGCTGCCTTACCCTCAAGGTAAGATGCAGCAGTAATCACCTCCTCCTCCTGCAAAGTCCTCTTTGCCCTTACCCACACTGGAACTGTTCTCAACCAAGTGTTGACTTCCTCGTCCTTCTTCTCTCCGGAGAGGGCAAGGGGCGGTTTCATAGGGGTCTTTGGGTACCAATGACCTTGTTGCTGTCCCTGTGGTGGAACAGTTTGTTGCGGCTGTGGAGTAGCACCTGCCGCTGGACCAGAAGAAGAAGAAGCAACAATTTGTGCGGCTGCTGCAGACGTACCACTTGGCTGTGTGCCAGCTTGTACCGGAAAGGGGCCTGACATCGCCGTTAACGGCAACGGCGACTGTGCTGCTGGCCTAAATCCTGGCCTTTGCAAAAGGTCCAAGATCTGGTCCAAAGAGTTTTGCATGAAGTCCAGTCTGCTGTCCACATGCGCATGCAGCGACAGTACGTTGTTCTTCAGTACTTTAATTTGGTCAGTCATGGCTGACTCATCCAAACCCTCCAATGCAGCTTTGTTTGCCTCTAACGTATCAAGCCTGGCTGTTCTATTTTTTATCTCCTTTTCTTTATCGGTTGCTTGCTTCAGTTCCCTCTCTAACCGCTCGCGGATCCTTTCGACTTGTTGGAGCTCTAAGAGCTCCCTGCTGCGTGGGGTCAACGGGCTTAACTGCGAGCCCGCCATTTGACTTGTGGACTGACCAGAACTTACTGCCCCGGAAGTACCTGTGGGCCCAGCGGGCATTCCCAACTGGGTCCCAGACGAGGACGCAGCAGAGGCTGCGCCGTTAGCCATTGCTGCTGCTCTGGCTGCTGTTGCCTGGTCTCTAGCTGCTGCGTTTGTTGCTGCCAACGCCTGACTTGCAGCTAGTGCTGTTTCCCTGGCTGCTGCGAGAGCACGGCCTCTATTTTCGGCACGAAGCCGTCTTTCATCTCCCGGTTGTAAGGTCTGAAACACATGCGGGACCCTAAGTGATCTCAAACGTGTCAGTCTCACATCGTCAACTCCACCCTCCTCGGTGTCTGACCTGCTCATCAGTTAGGCAAACACTATCTGCACAACAACTCCCTGTTGGAGTCCTACCACAGCATATGTCCGACCGACACCTAATTTTCTAAAAATAATTGTGTCCGGCAGGTCCCGTACTTGACCGATCAAGTGGCAGCCTACAGCATTCACAAAAGACTGTCAACATAATCTAGTTGTATCGTGATTAGTTCACTTACAAAAGTTTTGCAAAGAACTGGCTAGGGTAGTATACAACAGTCCTAAACTAAAACTGTCTGTGAGGTGTTAGCAGTCTGTCAACCAACTAATCAACAATAAAACTAAAATATGTTGCAGATGTATGAACAGTGGATATAGTTGTGTTTACAGTTGAGCACCAATTAGAACCTACCCTCCCCTCAATCCAACATACCGAAGAGCATCTTTGAGCAGCAGTGTCTTCGTGTGTAATGTCGGCCCACCCCTATGCCCCAAGTCATTGCCGAGCAAGCATGCCCATCCACTCTTATTTACCCTCGTACAGAACGAGCCTTACTACCCGGTTTGATCTGGCTGATCATGAGGGATTTAAGGAGAGCCCCCATCTCCTCAGGAATTATTTAACGTCGCAGACAGGACGACGATCACAGCCAGTATCAACACCGAGTCCCCAGCCATAAGTATTCATAGACGGTCTGGTAAGCGTCTATTATGGGCTGGCACACCCGGCACGACTTCTATAGCGCAGTAAAGTGCCAAAATGGACAAGCAGCCATAGCATGCGTGACTTACTCCCATTGGGTTGGCATGGTGACCGTGACCCAAGTGCTTCGACCAGGGCCCTTCAGAGGCACCGCCCTTTCTCCTTCCAGATGCTTCCGGGAAGATTGTCGTCTCTCAAGGTAGCGCGCATTCGACACCTCACCAAAAGAGAGGACTCTCAAGTTGGACTCACTTCCTCGCATAAGAAGAGATTGAGAGGGTAGATAAGGTAAGGGAACAACGTACCTGGAGATAACTGCCCCCAACCACAGATTTCTCACCAATTGAGCTGAGTGTTCATTTGATGACCGGTCGTAGCCTCGGTACCACCCACGACGCAATGAAGTGCCACCTCAGCTAAATGCCACATCAACATGCTCCCATCACCAATCATACATTCCGCTGTAACCACGACTTCCCATGCCGTATAGCCTTCTGACGGACACCTCTCTACCCAGGTCGTGCGCCTAATGTTGGCCTGACGTCACAAGAACCAACTGCGAAGAAGCATCGTCAACGCACCAAGTCTGTATAACGCCAGCGCACCAAGGTAAGTGGCGAATCGAACCAGCTCTGATACCAAAATGCAAGGAACATGAATGTGGACGAAGCACAAAAATCCAGATTGCAAAATCACACTGAAGTCCAAGTAGTCAAAGCAAGAGTAGATAGCACAATGGAACTGAGTAACCATCCATTTGAGAAGGATACAGAAGAATCGTGAGTCAATGCCCAAGCCCAATCGGGCAACACCAACAACATAACCCAATGTAGCTCTCTCTCTTGAATGGCGCCAGGCGCCCTACCTACTCTACAACCTATCACTACAACTATAACATGGAAGCAACCAGACAACTTGACGACCAGCGAGTGATGATGTCAACACCAATGCCGACCTCCTCATCCACTAGGTACGTCCCTCTCTTCACCCTCACTCTCCCTTGCTATCCCAAACAACGCCCTTCACCTCCGAAGAACCACCTTCGCCTTTCACCTTCTCTGCGCCCACAGGCAGCCCGGCTATGGCCGCCAGCGCCCTGCGCCCAGGCTGCGCTCTACCGCTTAGCGCCAACCTGCCCTCCCTCAGCCTAGCGCAGCGCAGACACAGTCGCAATGCAGCAACGTGCCGGCGTTGCTCGCAATGGCCAAGATCCCTGCCCACTCGCCCTCCCTGCCTATATGCCAGTGTTGCGTGTGGGCGACCTCCCTTAAGCCTGCGCCTGGGCCCCAGTACCTGTACCCAGGCCCAATGCAGTTGGGGCCCAGGAGATAAAGTTGCGCCTCTTTCATCAAGGCCTGCGGCCAGATTCAGATAGTGGACCGGTTTCCCATTGGCATTTTCGACCTCTATATCCAGCATGCATTGTCGGCCTCACGTTTATGTGCCCAGGGCCTAACCAGTTCTGGGGCCCTGGGATTTTCTGCATTTGCAGAGGTCCGATACTCGATGCACTCCAACCAACTGGCGTGCGACAACTGTATGGACTCCACTTCGTGAAATGTTTGAACAAAGGGCTCTCGTTGACTTGCTGGCCCGCCTTCACTTAGGGCGGGCACAAGGCTTGCTAGGGGCCTTAGCCCAGAACATGTACATCACGGCAAGGCCCCTTTTGAGGGCTCAATCCTCACACAAAGGTACTGAGTATTTTATTGCTGGAAGGGTGCGCTAAGGTTGAGGTTTGTGTGACTAAAGCGAGGGGTGTGAGCGCAGAGAATGGTTGAAGTTGACCCCGTATAGTGCATGGACTTTTGGTTGAATCTTTGATGTGATTGCGGGTATCTTCTGTGGTTCGGACTTTGGATTTGACCGCTTGCGATCACATACATATATATGGCTGGGAGGAGTCTCACTGTGATTGTGAGAAGTGATCGTCACATATTTATAGCCCTTATCTATATATATGTAAAGACATATGTCTTAAGTATTTCGCGCGACCTACTGTGACAGCCGTAAGGGTTGAACAGATTATGTTGTTGAGAGAAAACGGACCCTGTTATCCTTTGCTTCTTAGAATTTTTATAGTTGGACGTTGTAGTCCGTGGCAGCCTTCAAAGTCAAACCCCTTAATTTTTCCCCAGACCCTGGATGATGGAGCTGGTCTCCAGGGCGATAAGAGATGATTGCCACCACAAGTATGAACTTGTGTACCACCCACTCTCCGCAGGGTGCAAAAGAGGGTGTGGTTCTCAACCGCAATTGGCGGTTGTCCATCGTCGAGAGATCAATCCCTGAAGGCGCGTGTCAGCTCACACTTGAGTGTCGAATGCGACCCTCGAGATTAATAAGGACCTCATGAGTATAGGTACTACACAGTACGCCATCATTGCGACTACTTGCGTATGCTTTCATTGGGAGTCGATATGAGTTAGCCCTGCGTCCGCGCGGTTTTATACTAAGTCTCGCGCGCGACGCCTATTCGATTTCCGCATCGGAGAGTTATGGGATGGCTACTAAGGGACTAGCGTGGTGTACGCGTGGTGTGTGGAATGCGTCCTAGTCGACCAACGACGGGTCAAGCTTGGACCTCAGGCCCCCAAGGCGTCGGTTCGTGTGCGGGTCCGATAGAGGCGCAAAACCGCGCGTACCCCCTATGCTACAGCGAACGAGAAACACCCTCGGTTGGTCCACCTCTGTGATTGCAGCTGATTAGCTTCCGTACTGTGGACTGGTAGCTCGGCGGGGATACGCCCACCGAAGGGAGGTGACAGCTCCCGGAAGGTGGAGGTAAGTTGTGCCTCACGTAGGCCCTATCCTGTTGTAGGGGCTGGCGAGAGGTGTGGTTGGCGCACTCGGCCGGAGCGGCTTGCAGAAGCTCCATGTATATTCGCGATGAGGAATAAACCAACTCCTGTGTGACGCGGCCGGGAGGGTCCCGCCCGTTTGTGCGATGTCGGACCAATGCGCTCAACAGGTGGCGCCGTTGTCGGGGATAACAGTTGCCTACCGTTGTCCCTTGTGGAACGACATCCGGGTAATGGGGATGTGAGAAATAAGCAAAATAAGAAGTTTTCTTGGACTTTATGGTTAGTCATTTGATGGTATTGGATAGAGCGCGAGTGAGAGTTGATTGTGTGAGTTGGTTTTAACTAGTGCAGTAAGGGTGGCGCAAGAGGGAGATGTTATGAGTATGCGCTCACGTACTCTGACTAAAAGTTAGTACCCCTTCTGACCTCGATAGTTGACGGGTTTGGACGTTACTTTGCATGGTTGATATGGTCAGGGTAAGATAAGGTGGCGTCGACATGGCTAAGAACGTCCATTGAGGAAGTTGGCCCCTATAAGGTACCTATTATGGTCGAAAAGGTTATCTGCGTGGTCATGAGAGCAATTTGGTACTTTGGCATTAGAGTGGGAACGAGGATGAGTAAGGGAGCCTATTACGTTAGAAGTCGCCAAGGGACTTTGAAGAGAGTTAGGCTAAGGACTCTGAAAATCTTTATGAGCATGGGTTGGGATCCTTGAGTCTGGGTTCTAAGCGGTTGTTCGATTTATATGGCCATGAGGTGTGAGGTCTGCCCCACGTGATTGAGAATTAGGCATATAAGGTAGGAGGTAGATGCAGTAAACGCTGTGTTATGACCTCCATGGAAAGGACTACAGGAAATAGTAGATTTGCATGACGCCTTTTTGGCGAAACGGAATATCTGATCCTAGCGCAGTAACCCTGTTCAGAAGTAGCCTGGGGCCCAAAACTCAGCCCCAGGCCACGCAGACCTGAGAAGGTCTGCGCTGGGGTGTGTGACCAAGACACTCCCTGGCCTGAGTCTGTCGTGGGTGGCTGTGTGACCAAACATTGCACACAGGAAATTCAAGCGTCAAAGTCAACTGTCAAGTCAAAGGTACAGAACCCAGGCCCTGGGATGGATACACTCACTTGTTGTGCGCAGGTACCCCGACAGCATCCAGGCCGGAGGGAATTCGGTTTCGGGCCGATCTGAGCTCTCATTTGCATTGAGATCTGGACGGCCGAGGGATACAGCATCCGGGGTCCAGACCCCGCGTCAACACTACATAAGTGTTGACTTCCTGGCTTTGACATTCATTCATTCTGTCTTGCGTTGACGCTGACTCTACACGTTGACGACGCGACGCAGGCTTGAAGCTGCGACGCTGGTGGACGTTGGCATAGTGCTGGCATTTGTGAGACTGTGGCGATGCGCTGCTGGCTGGTATGGTGACTGGCTGGCTACTGTTTATGAGCCATGCTGACGTGGCAGCTGCCACGCGTTGCTGCTGATGTGGCTGCTGCCACGTGTCATGTAGCCGGGTCTTTGTGACCGGATCTGCTGTTCTTCATTTCGACACTTCAGGAAGAGATCAAGACTATTCATCGTCACTTCAGGAGGAGATCATGACTGTGTGGAGGTTGTCGATACGTACCTGAGATCTTCATGTCGACATTGCTCCATCGCTGATTGATGACTGATTAGGTGCCACGTGGCACATTGTAGCAGGACTTCGACTATGTGTTCAGATTACTGGTTCTGTGAGGTGGCGATTATGTAGGGAGCCCGGAGAAGGAGTGGGCCGTGTATTCTCCCTCTCCTTTGTCTCATCTCCCTCCTCCCTCTTCGTATGTGTATGGTTATCTCACCTCTTTCTTTCTGGACACTATTCGATTATTGGAAATTATCAGCGACTTTAGATTCTGGACTTGCATTGTTGACAAACGTATTCATGAAAATTCATGATCAAATTGGTATCGGAGCAGTTCTCCTGAACACGGTGACAGGCACCAGGTGTCGCACAGGTAAGTGTGGTGCACACACATAGATAGTAGGTGATGACGTGGCACAAATTGGCGAGAAGACATTTCCGGGGATGCTGATGTGGCTCTGACATGGCTCCGACGCGAAGACAACACCGGGGATATTGACGAAGTACCGCGAGAAGACCCTACTTAGTTGCTGACGTGGCGGCAGGGATTGGAGATACCACCGGCTAGTCTGGATCGCGACACTGACGTGGCATCGCAATCCCCTGCTGACGTCGCATAAGACGTGCCACGTCCACGGACCTTGCTGCTAATGATGAGGTGGCACTCTTGGTGTTGCTGCACGCGACAGGGTCCGTTGTTGATGCTGACGTGGCCTTGAGTAGGACTTGATTGCTGACGTGGCAGACATCAGGACATCACACCCGTCTCTTAAGGTGGTGTCTGTTTGCTGACGTGGCACTGAACTCTGGGCTGACGTGGCACTGAACCTGATTGGCTGGAACATTGACGGTGTTTCAACGAGACGCGACAAGGTGGAACGTGATAAGGATAAGGACACATACTTGCTGATATGTCATCCCCCTATTGGTAGACTAGACAGTCTGTGCTGACGTGGCAAGACTTGTTGTGTTGGCACTCCAAGGGTGATACGTGGCAGGCAGGACTGCTGCTAAGTAAGAGGGGCACTCTGAAGACTAACGGCGGTACGGCTGACAGAGTTGATTATACAGCTGTAGTGCTAGCCGTCCGGGAGAGTGCATCATCGCACTGACACTCAGAAGATACAGCGAATTGATAAGGAGTGCTGACAAATTGT